TTTTTTTTTGAAATCTCTCTTTCAGCAAGACTGAGCATTTTGGAAGAATGAATAGCATTTTTTTTCTAAACTCTGAAAAAGGCAGAGGAAAGTTTAGTTTTATGTCCTCATTCCTATTCGCCGTCATCTTATCTTGTTCTTAAAAAACCGCTTATGTCGACTGCTTTTAACGTAAATCGTTAACAATAATCACATTACTAGGTATACCCAAACGTTGGGTTTGGTAATCTTGTACAATTATTCCAACACTAAAACCTTCCCAATATTAACTAAGCTGTAATCATGAATGTTCTCGATTGTGTCCCATACGATAAAATGTTTTGAAATATAAGAACCTGGCAGACAAACATTTGAGGGTAATCCAATTCATAAATGGCATTATACCCTGATTCACCATCTCATAAGAAGACAAGAATTTTCCTTTCCCTTCAAAAAGTTATTATTAAAAATAGTATCCAAGCAAATTTTTTGGTTTCAGATTTTTACCTTTTCGGACCATTTTTTTGCATTGCATCAAAATAAACTTCAGGTGTGTTAAATGTCAAAGCAGCGATTTCTGGATCTATCCTTTTCACCTTCTTTCGACAACAATGATATCCAGCGAAAAAATAGAAGATCGTTTTGGAACCAATTGCATTCGCGCCATTGCAACTCGAGTCGGGAAAACGAACATTGCAACTGATTTCTAAAGGACGAGTTACATCGACGCAAATTTCAGGACCCCAATTGCCCGCCATTTTCTTAGAGGGATAGGAAGAAGCTATAACTCACTGCCCCCGTCCATGTCAGCCAGAAAAAGCGCGGATTTCCCATTTTGCGGCATTTTTACGTTAATGTTTTCATAACTTTAAATTACCTCACTTAATACGTTGTCCTGGTGAGCTATTATGTTTTTTTGGTTGATGACAGCGTAGGTTACAGCCGCACTTTTTTGATTGCGAGCAACCGTGCTTTGCGTAAACTACCGTTTAAGTCAATTGGTAAGTGATATTAGGTGAAACTTTGCGTAAACTACCGTTTAAGTCAATTAGTAAGTGATATTAGGTGAAATTAATGTCACAAACAAGTTTGTATAGCCTCAATTTTGCAAACCTGAATTTGTTATGTGATCTAATGATTTAACGCATGAGGAAGATCTGTGAACTTTCTGTTTTCTTCTTTATTTTCTTCTAAGTCCTAATCCTAAGTTAATGCTGCTGAGGCCCTCTCTCTCATAAAACTTTGTTATCTGATAATTTACAAATGAAATAACTTAAGTTATTTATGAGTTACATAAGAGAATATTACATCGAAGTTTTCGCTCATGTTACCAGCTAGGGGAGTTACACGAATATCGTGAGTAGGTGAACTACGTGTGCATGCCCTTACCAATGTCTGGAATTATTAACACTTCCTATATATTGCGTATCAAAAAATTCTTACACGGTATCCTCTACAACTAGCGGTCAACGCTCTCTATCTTGAACTCTATTTGAAGCGAAATTGCGGCTGAACC